GTCGACTCTGAGGATCCCCCTGAAAGACTTGGGCCTCAGAGTTCAGCTCGGCCACCCTGCCAGTTCTCGATGTGTCACGCCGCAACCTGGACACAAGGACTTTATGGTCCTTCACACAAATGGGTTGCAGTACGTTGATACGGATGAAACCATTTCACCCATATAAAATTCAATTTTAACAATTTTACCGATAAAAGTCATCTCTAATAAATACACTACATACAATTGCAATGATACAAAGAGTCAATGCGCATACCCGGCACAGTTGACTAAAAATGCAAATGCGTGGAATCTGAAAATAGGACAAGGCTTTGGAACTGGCAGCAGTACGTGTTGTGACATTATACTTGGATCCTATCTAAGATTCACCTACCATGAAATAGAGCACGAAGAGGTTCTAGAGTAAACACCCAACGCAGGGAGAAGAATTGCATTACTACCAAAGGGTTTAGAAACACATAATGGATTTATTGTGAAAACTCGTGCTTATACAAGAAATACAGAAAAGACGACATAGACGCTTAAACAGCATGTCTGAAACATTGAAAGACTAAACTACACCTAGGTAGTAAACGTACGAAGACTTAGCGTGGCTCACGGCCATTCAGAAAGTCATGTACAGCAGTTCCCGTGTATGCATCAAAGACTGATGTGTCTGAACGTCACAAGTACAAACATGAGAAAAAGACACATTCTATTATATGAAATATAATAAGAACCCCCTGACAATTAAGAAAGACATTTGAAAACACCTTCGGAGTGTCTCCCGACCTCCGTAATGAAAAGATGAGCCAAGACAAGGCATTTTAATTAAAAACTCGGAAGCGACGGAAGGCCGAAGACTATTGGTAAACGCGTACGCATGCGCATCAACGCATCAGGAAACATTAATCATTTTGTGATGTCATCTGTCAAACTGGTAAACTGGGCCATAGAAAGAAACACGCGAGATCATGCCAAGCTAAGAATAGCTACGTCGGCTAACTCCGCATACGCATCAAACACTGATGTGTTTGAAAATGAAAGACACGACACTACAAAATCTGTAGTGTTCACAGAGATAGACTACAAAATATACCACATGTTCATTAAATTTCATATTTGTAATTCGGACCGAAGTATCCCGCATTAAAACACATGTAAAACATAGATAGGGGTTCCTGGAGTATATAAGGAGCGCGCTGGCAGGTCAAAAGGCAAGCAATCGCCCCCCCCGTTGACCAGCTAGTTGCACTCCAAGTAGGAACTTAGGAGGTGGACAGTTGTAATCAATTAAAGGAGATTTCTTTGTGGTCAGAAAAGTACAGTGTGAAC